TTTTTATGCATCTACCATTCAAAAGCAATGGGTGTGAGGCGACCACGGTCACAAAATCGCGCCGCCCCCATGAGGGCAAAAAAGTGAAGCTCGCGCTATCATCGTGTTAGAACGCCAAATCTTCCAAAGGCTATATGTATATAAGGCTATATGTAGGTTTGAATTAAGATCTATGATTGGCTTCACCTGGTTACTCTTTCTCCACTGAGTTATCGACTCAGAAAGCCGCTAGAGGAGTCCTTCTCTGGATAATCGTGATTCTGCCACACACATAATTCACTAGCTTGGGACACATATTCTCACGATAAGAACGAAAAAGAAAAAAAAATTGCATTTGTTTTTGGTAAAAAATTCGAAAACCGAAAGGGCTGCTACGCGTTCAAAGTACCGCCGGACATCTGTCACAAATGCTGGCGACGGGAATGCTTCCACTTGGTTCTTGGAGTGCCGTCACTAGAAACTCTTTCTGGCCTTTTGACTTATTGCATTCACATCTCACACTTCTACTGCATCCTATTCTATCGATCGATTTGTCTCTACTCTCCAAAATCGCACGCTTTAACCCGATCTTTCACTGTGTCGCGTGATACGTAGCCGCCTGGCTCGGAGTGTGGTTTTTGTAAGTTTGTTTCTCTTCTTGAACCGTACCGTTGTGCTTGTAACTTTGGTAACTTTGAATGTTGTCTCTAGTGACCACAACTGGACATATGCGTGTTGAGAAGGAATACATGATTTTTCCGGGAAGGATTTCTTCAACTGGATACGATACTTTCTGTAAACGCTGAAAAGCTTCTCTTTATTGCACTATACATTACAGTAATCGTAACATGTAACAATACAGAACTCGAAAGTGTGTGAGAGGGAAGACGCCCTGGCCATCACATGGGCCTCAAGAAAGAGTTCGCTTCGTAATGTTATTTATTTGAACACAAAATCAATAACCGTGCAGTCACTGGCACAAAAACTCTCAAAGGCTTGCCATAAACTGTTTCATGTTATTGAGAGGATTTGAAAGGCTCAGAAATACTGTCAACTTCTGCTCTTGCCCTGCTGAATCAGGCTGAAGTTTTGGATAGGGTCCAGAAGACCTTCGTGGTATCGTGGAACGGAGCTATGATAGGCGGATCGTGGAAAAATGATCCGTGTTGAAGCCACTTGAGATTCTTATGAGGAAATGGCTTACTCAAAGAAAGTGTTACAGGGGAAAGGAAAATAGAACTAGCTATAAAAAAGATAGTGAGAGGGTGTGAATGAACAAAGGAAACATTTCGAGTTCTCATATGTTCGTAAATATTAGTAAAACATTGTTTGGATCGTTGTTACAATACGGTAATCACCGGAGAGCAAAAGTGGGAGTGGGAAAAAAATCATGGACGGCCGGCAAACTAGAAGTAGAATCTGCCAGTCAATTTGTAGAGTCTTCTGAGTGCCTGCTTGTCGTAGAAGGAGACAGGATTTCCTGTGGGTGTGAATGCGGTGACCTGAAGAAGATCACATGTTTATTCATTTATCCAAGTACCGAACAAAGTATTCAGTATTTAATAAACAAGCATTAAACCAAGTCCCATACTGCAGCAAAGCGAGGAGTGAAAGCGACAATGGCTGACAAAGAGAGCGGACCCCGCGAGCGGGACTAGGGAGAAGAGTAAGATGCAGCAAACAAAAAAGTGGAAGCCGGCATGGAAGAGCTGGACCAAATAGTGGACACTGCTGCCTGCTCTCATATGATGGTGTTCACGTTTCTATTACGAGGTCCCTGCAGTCAGACCTAAAGGCACTGGTCGCCATTGCATCTGTGGTACAGTATCTCAGTGAGTGCCATAGCGGAGTCCCCGAGCATAGATAGCATTGCC